GGGGCCAGCCTAGCTAATAATACCGATATGAGGGACCAATAAAATCGGAAATAAAAAATTTGAGGTTTTTAGGTCTTTAAACACATCATTGGATAGCTGGCAAAGAGCTGGTTTCGAATATGTTATTCAGAATTGTGTACGATCACTTTGAAGGTTGTTATCAGCTTATCAGTGCCCAAAAAGGGATCAAAAAGAATTAGAGCGTGTAATTCACTAAAAATTGAGATTTTTGAATGTTCAAACATATTGGCGGATAGCTCAAGGGACACTGATGACAACTGTGTAAACATGAGCTTTGTGCGATAATTTTGAAGGCAGTTATAACAATGCGGCACTTCCGACGCAAAAACGCGTTTATTGCGCCCTGCGGCACATGAAAAAATTGACTTTTCCACATTTTGAATATATTGTCGGATAGAGCAAACATTGCCGAGCCCAAATATAATAAAGTGAATCAAAAAGAGTAGCTTTGTGGGAAGCTATTCGAATGCGGCACTTACGACGCAATATCGCGTTTATTGCGCCGGAGGGCACAAAAAATTGTGATTTTTCCAATTTTCGAACATACTGTCGGATGCATCAGACAGCGCTGGTTTCAAATATTTTAACCAGAGCTCTATAGGAGTAACCTGAAAAAAGATATAGCAATGCGGCACTTCCGGCGTTTTATTGCGTTTAAAACGCAGTTTTGAAAAGCGGCACTGCCAGTGCTGTAGTTACTATTTACATTTAATATTTTTGTATTATTGATTTACATTATAGGGAGTGGTCCTGCGAAGACTATTGCCTGAGTATTAAATGTGATACAGTTTCCACCAACGAATTGTGGAGGATGGTAATAATTTTTAGGATAGGATTCCAAAATATTCCCAGTGTTGTACTGATCTAGTCTAGTAACTAAAAAATCTTTTAGATTATATAATAACATTTTTACTGAAGTGTTGTTTAAACAATTATTTATAGGTGAGATGTCAGATCGAGTCGAGCAGTTCCAGGAATCCGTCAATCGTAAAGTACTCATTGAGTGGGTACGAGTGTTAGGTTTACGTAATCCACACAAGAGAACTTACGACAAGGTATTAGCTGACTTTTCGGAAAATATACTCAAGTGAGTTGGTGTAAGTTGATTTTTAGAAAATATATATGTGGCTTTTCAGATATCCCAAGGACCGCCCACTAGCCTTTTCCTGGCCGACAGGCGCAGGAGTGCATAAGGGCATTCCAGCAATTCGCGTGAGTATTAAAGTTAAAAGCTTAGTAAGGTTGGTAATCGACTTTTTAGGCAAAAATATCCTATGATTGTTGGCGTCACTTTCTTTCCGTAGGAAGGAATAACCTTGCTGAGTACAACACACAACACACGACACACAATACACAACACACAACACACAACACACAATACACAACACATAATACACAACACATAACACACAACACACAGCACACAACACACAACACACAACACACAATACACAACACATAATACACAACGCATAACACACAACACACTACACACTACACACTACACATTACATAATACACATAACTCACTACAACACACAATACCACACAACACATAACATACAACACACTACACACAATACATAAAACGCAACACACTACCCATTACACACTACCATTGCACATTACATCTACACGCAACACGCCACACGTTACACACTACACACTACACACATCACTCAACACACAACAAACAACACACTACTACATACTATAAAATACAAACTAAACACTACATACAACACACAACACAGCACCAAGCAGACAATATAGAACGCACAACACATATTAAATATATCGATACACATTTTCAAAATCCCTGCCTCTTAGGGGGCTGCAACTGCAGCATTGTTACTTTTAAAAAAATTTATTCTACCCAACACCGTTTTTCCTACTTTTCTTCCTTATTTATATGATAGATGTGTTCTCTTATTCTTTCCTTTATTTTCCTGGTAGTAATCCCAACATACTGTCTCTTGCAATTTTCACATGTTATGCAATAGACTACGTTTCTTTTATTACAGGAAGTATTGTCTCCAATGTAACAGTGAATATTAGTGGCAGTAGTAGTTGACTTGATCAATGATTCTTGATTGATGATGTTGCAGTATCTACAATTATCAGAGCAAGGTTGGAATTTTTTGTTGTCTCCGAAATTTTTTATGTAATATTCTTTGGAATTAGTATCCCTGCACTTAATAAACTTGGTGTTTTTATAATAACTACTACTATCAAAACCACTGGGAGAATTTTGAATTTTTTTGAGTGACCTATGATCTAAGCTTTATGGAAGGTCCATTCCATAGGCAGAGGAACGGTGAATTCGGTAGGGCTGCTACCAGGGTTCTGGCTAACCCTTGATTCTATGGGCATGAAAGAGAAAAATGTGTGAAGGCATAGAATTGACCCTTTTGGAGGCGTGGAAGCTACCATTCCTTGCCGGCTTACCACTGGTTTAACCCCATCAAAAGAGTCCCTGTTTTTTGAAAGAGGGCAGGCCCTCTTATCTAAGAGTATGTATAAGAATGGGACAAGGGATAAAATGAGGAAATTAAAAAATGGAAGAAAAGTAGGAAAAACGGTGTTGGGTAGAATAAATTTTTTTAAAAGTAACAATGCTGCAGTTGCAGCCCCCTAAGAGGCAGGGATTTTGAAAATGTGTATCGATATATTTAATATGTGTTGTGCGTTCTATATTGTCTGCTTGGTGCTGTGTTGTGTGTTGTATGTAGTGTTTAGTTTGTATTTTATAGTATGTAGTAGTGTGTTGTTTGTTGTGTGTTGAGTGATGTGTGTAGTGTGTAGTGTGTAACGTGTGGCGTGTTGCGTGTAGATGTAATGTGCAATGGTAGTGTGTAATGGGTAGTGTGTTGCGTTTTATGTATTGTGTGTAGTGTGTTGTATGTTATGTGTTGTGTGGTATTGTGTGTTGTAGTGAGTTATGTGTATTATGTAATGTGTAGTGTGTAGTGTGTAGTGTGTTGTGTGTTATGCGTTGTGTATTATGTGTTGTGTATTGTGTGTTGTGTGTTGTGTGTTGTGTGCTGTGTGTTGTGTGTTATGTGTTGTGTATTATGTGTTGTGTATTGTGTGTTGTGTGTTGTGTGTTGTGTATTGTGTGTCGTGTGTTGTGTGTTGTACTCAGCAAGGTTATTCCTTCCTACGGAAAGAAAGTGACGCCAACAATCATAGGATATTTTTGCCTAAAAAGTCGATTACCAACCTTACTAAGCTTTTAACTTTAATACTCACGCGAATTGCTGGAATGCCCTTATGCACTCCTGCGCCTGTCGGCCAGGAAAAGGCTAGTGGGCGGTCCTTGGGATATCTGAAAAGCCACATATATATTTTCTAAAAATCAACTTACACCAACTCACTTGAGTATATTTTCCGAAAAGTCAGCTAATACCTTGTCGTAAGTTCTCTTGTGTGGATTACGTAAACCTAACACTCGTACCCACTCAATGAGTACTTTACGATTGACGGATTCCTGGAACTGCTCGACTCGATCTGACATCTCACCTATAAATAATTGTTTAAACAACACTTCAGTAAAAATGTTATTATATAATCTAAAAGATTTTTTAGTTACTAGACTAGATCAGTACAACACTGGGAATATTTTGGAATCCTATCCTAAAAATTATTACCATCCTCCACAATTCGTTGGTGGAAACTGTATCACATTTAATACTCAGGCAATAGTCTTCGCAGGACCACTCCCTATAATGTAAATCAATAATACAAAAATATTAAATGTAAATAGTAACTACAGCACTGGCAGTGCCGCTTTTCAAAACTGCGTTTTAAACGCAATAAAACGCCGGAAGTGCCGCATTGCTATATCTTTTTTCAGGTTACTCCTATAGAGCTCTGGTTAAAATATTTGAAACCAGCGCTGTCTGATGCATCCGACAGTATGTTCGAAAATTGGAAAAATCACAATTTTTTGTGCCCTCCGGCGCAATAAACGCGATATTGCGTCGTAAGTGCCGCATTCGAATAGCTTCCCACAAAGCTACTCTTTTTGATTCACTTTATTATATTTGGGCTCGGCAATGTTTGCTCTATCCGACAATATATTCAAAATGTGGAAAAGTCAATTTTTTCATGTGCCGCAGGGCGCAATAAACGCGTTTTTGCGTCGGAAGTGCCGCATTGTTATAACTGCCTTCAAAATTATCGCACAAAGCTCATGTTTACACAGTTGTCATCAGTGTCCCTTGAGCTATCCGCCAATATGTTTGAACATTCAAAAATCTCAATTTTTAGTGAATTACACGCTCTAATTCTTTTTGATCCCTTTTTGGGCACTGATAAGCTGATAACAACCTTCAAAGTGATCGTACACAATTCTGAATAACATATTCGAAACCAGCTCTTTGCCAGCTATCCAATGATGTGTTTAAAGACCTAAAAACCTCAAATTTTTTATTTCCGATTTTATTGGTCCCTCATATCGGTATTATTAGCTAGGCTGGCCCCGGCCCCTGCCGCAGTGACCTATCATTATCGATTTTTGTCATCAGAATGCATTCAGTATTGTGATATATGGAAGTAACAATTTATTCGATGACTTCAATAAGCCAGAGGTCCAGACATAATGAAAACTGAATTTGAAATCTGAAATTTCAATTTTTGAAAAAATTCATTTCTATCCAAACTCCACAATTTTAGCATATTCTGAATCCCTGAGAAAAGTCCTACACGTAAAACATGAAAATACACGAAAATTTATGAATACATGAAAATAGTATGTACAAACAAGCAATTATTTACATTTTGGTTAAATACACTCAAAGCATGTAATTAAATATGTACTTAAAGCATGTAATTAAAAATCAGAATATTAATAAGCAAATTCAATACATTACAAATGATATGTACATGTGAATACAAATGAATACATTTCCTCGCCCTATGATTTCGCCGATGCTGTAACTAAAAATTCACAAAATCATAGCTACTTTTCAAAATTGAGGCTTCAAAATTACTTGTGAGTCAGTCGTCGACGAACTCATAGGGCGAGGGTTCTTGTGCCTGCGGCGACTCTACCTCAAAGAGAGCCGCTCTTCTTGATGGCGTCCCGCCGGTGGCGCTCTTCAGTCTTCGCACTCTAGAATTGAGTGCGTTCTTAGCGGTCCTCCAAACAGTTTGCCGCGCCTCCACAGGCACCATATAGTATTTAAAAATGCACTGAAAAATTTCTATAGGAAAAAATGCCAACATAACTATAAAAAACTTCACCTCTTTGATAAACTCCACCTTTGTGGCGGACTGAATTCTTTTTTCCAATGGGAGAATCAGTTCCGCCGTGTCGCCTTCATAAACCTTTTTTTCCAGCTCCAGCGCGAACTTGTTCACGTTGCCTCCGCACAATTTCCGGAGACTTTCCAGAAACTTAGCGGAGGCATAATCGAACGCCAGAGCCTCTAAATCACAAATTATGTATAGAAATTTTACAGAGCTCAACTTACCTTCGCTCTCGGTTCTCTTGGGAACTCTTTTGAGCACCTCCTGGACGTTGGCCCTCAACTCGCCTAAGGCACTCCAGCCCCTCTGCTGCAGCTGAGCAGCTTCGAGCTGGAGGTCCTTTCTCGCCATTTCGGTTTCCAGGCGAGTTAGACGGCTGAGGACCTCGTCCATGGAGGCGCTCAGTTTTCTCAACAATTCCTTGTCTGTGGGGCACCCCGCTTCCCTAGAGGCAATGATATGAATTTTATACATCATCATGTTTTTTGAATTTACATTTCATTCCCCAATGTACCGTCGCAAACCCGAAAATTTGGGTTTTCGAGAACCCCGTCCTTCGTTACATAGTCCAACTTCCTTTCACAATATTCCTTATCCCCCATGCAAAGAATCTGAAATCAAAGCAAGCATCATTTTCATTATTTTTCAATTTCCTTCATGAAATTTCACTCCAATTTTCGTTAGAATAGTAAATGCGCGAAATTTCATGACTAATGATCACCTACCTTCAATTACAGGTGCATTTACGAAAAAACTCGAATATTATTTGGATTCCCATCAAAATTTCACACGAGAAGCGCCAAAATCTTAATTTCTGATTTTCGTGTCAACTGATGCACGCGAAATTTAAGAAAGAAAAACAAAAAACTCAGGTTTTGCGTACAATGAAAGAGATTCATGAATACTGGTCACTTACCTTCAGAGTTGCACGTGGATTTACGAAAATCTTAAATTTCATTTATATTTCTATCAAAATTTCACAGCAGATGCCCAAAAATCGTATTTTCTGATTTTTTGGCCGGCTGGTGCATGTGAGGTTTGAAGATTTTGCATAAAATATGGGAAACTCATAGTTTATGATCACTTACCTTCAATCATGATTGTCATCACGGTGAGTTACGGAAAAAATTCAATTTTCATCCAGTTTTCCATCGAAATCTCACAAAAACGCACAAAAATCGTATTTTCTGATTTTTTGGCCGGCTGGTGCATGTGAGGTTTGAAAAATGGCAAAAATTTCTCAGATTTTGCATAAAATATGGGAAACTCATAGTTTATGATCACTTACCTTCAATCATGATTGTCATCACGGTGAGTTACGGAAAAAATTCAATTTTCATCCAGTTTTCCATCGAAATCTCACAAAAACGCACAAAAATCGTATTTTCTGATTTTTTGGCCGGCTGGTGCATGTGAGGTTTGAAAAATGGCAAAAATTTCTCAGATTTTGCATAAATTAGGGGAAACTCATATGATTACTTACCTTTGCTGCATAAGTTTTCCCTTTCACCAGAACTCTTGTTTGCACTCCGACAGCGAGGTCCCCAATGATATCATCAGTAGACACAACGTCTGTATCCTTGCTACGAGAATAAAATACCAGTGCGAAAGACTCCATTTGGATTGTTGCTTAGGTTACGTTCTATTCAGGGTATAAATATATCCGAGAAGTTCCTGATTGACCTATATTCAGTCCATAGCATAGAAGTCCATGACCTATATGCGATCGACCTATCACCCTGAGGGAAAGTTATCCGAGTCGCTGAGGAATGACCCATTGAAATTGCCCAGGGCATGCTGACCTCTTGCTAATCATGACTATTGCTACAAGCTATCACAGATCCATATAATTAGGAAGTCATTCGCTATACTCGGCATTCATAGATTCTCAGCATTTTAGCTGGTATTTTCTTCTTCTTCATTTTACTCGCTTTATTCTCGTCTGCATTAACATTAGCGATTGCTGTATACTCGCTCCATATGCTTAGTGCAAATTTACTTTATCAACAATCAATTTTTTATTGACATTTTTACAAGCAAATTGGCCAAAAATCTATTTATATTAACAACTTCTTATTAATAATTTTTTATAACAATCAATTTCTTATTAACATTTTTACAAACAAATTTAAAAAAAAGCAAATTCGAAAGCGAAGAATTTCACGAAAGATAATTACACATCAAAATTCTACAAACAAATATTTACAATTTCTACAAATAAATAATTACAGAATATCCACAAATATTCTCAAAACCAATCATCCTCCTCCTCTGATGCACCCTCAGGTTCAGGCTCGGCAATTTCTTGTTTTTTTCGACGGTTGGGGTTTCTTTCAATAATGTTCCCTCCCTGCGCCGACACCACCGCGGGCATCCTCCACTGTATTCCCTTGATGTATCTCTGACACACCTCGGGGGTAAGTGTGCTCCAGTAAGTTCTGATGGCGGATTCAAGTTCGTCCAACTTTCGAATGTTCTGTCTGCTGAAAGAAGAAAAAGTATAATTGATTTTCTTTTAGTATAAACTACAAAAAGTTAATGTGATTTGCAACCATACCTTATGTAGCCCTTCATGCTTCCCCAAACTAATTCGATGGGGTTCAAGTCAGGAGACTCGGCTGGCCAATCAACCGTCTTGACACCCCATTGGCGCAACCGACCCATCGTGTAAGCGCTCTTGTGCGCAGGAGCATTGTCTTGCACTAATCTAGCTGTTCCTAAAAATCGTTTTAAGTAAAAAAAACATGATAGAAAATTTAATTCTGACCGTAATATGCTCTTCTAGAGAAACCGAGGTAGCACTCTTCTAGGATCTCACAGTACAGCCTCGAGTCCATTCTGACTGTACCCTTGAAAATCGCCAGAGATGTGGTGCCCTTTGAAGAGATGCCCCCCCACACATGAAGCTTTGCAGGATGTTTCGCCCTGCTTCTCAATCTGGCTGATGCTTTGCCTTCTTCCACATATGCGTACTTCGTAGAGCAACCCACTACAACATATTGATTAAATGTCGAAAAAAAATTAAAATGGGTTTAAATTAAAACACAAACATTGAAAAGTGGATTCGTCCGTGAAGACACAGTCGAGAAACTGCTCTCCTTCTGCTATCATATCTATGCAAAAGTCCATCCTCTTGGCTTTGTTTTCATCTCGGATCATATGACAGTATTTGGTATTTTTGCGTGTGAATCCTAGGCGATTTCGATAGCTCTTGATGAGAGAGACGCTTGCGGGAATCCCTTGGGACTTCAACCGCTTCGAAATTGCAATGGCCGTTGCAGAACTGTCTTGTCGAAAACTATGTCTGACTTCGTTCGTAATTACGTCCTCGTTTGCTATAAATGCTTTACATGCTATGATCACCAACATTCAGAAATGAAAAATTATACCTCTACGAGAAAAACAACGAGTTTTTTTCGTTAACGGTTTCGTGGAGTAGAAGTTCCTTATAAATTTCCTGATAGAGTGTGGCGTTATGGACGCGTTATACTAAGTGCAGTATTTTTTTTTGAAAAAAAATTCAAATTTTATGACTAGTAACCTCAAGCAGTTTCTTTTGAATATTAGCGATGGTTTCTCCTTCACGATGTAGTGGAAGAATAATGTGCACGAAGTCAGCTGCAGCCATGTTGTCGGTAAAGTGTGGTAGTCGTTTGGTAGTGATCAGATAATCGATGCCGTTCGCTAAGCAAATAGGCAATCAATGAAGACTTCTTACCTCACCTTATTAGGCGTGGCTCTTAGGGATGCACCAATGGTTTCGCACCTTGGAGGCGTTCCCTACACCTTTGTCATAACTTGCAAATAAGAGCCTCGGTGGCGGTTGTCCGGGGAATTGTTCCGTGCATCAATCATAAACTTGGAATCATTTGTGCATTTGTTAGGCAAAATAATTATACCCTCGTTAAAAGTTGGAGCGAGTATAGGTTTCTGAAATGCCTTTTCAGCCATCGCTGAAAGTTTCCGTAAGTTTCTGAAACTTTTCCGTTTCAAATTACACAATGCGGCATGGAAGATCAGAATTTATGATTTTCTGAGTGAATCATCAAATTTTGGCTTTGAAATGTCATTTTTCAGCCATCGCTGACGAATTTAGTGAGTTTCTGAAACTTTTCCGTTTCAAATTACACAATGCGGCATGGAAGATCAGAATTTATGATTTTCTGAGTGAATCACGAAATTTTGGATTTGAAATCTCATTTTTAAGCCATCGCTGAAAGTTTCCGTAAGTTTCTGAAACTTTTCCGTTTCAAATTACACAACGCGGCATGGAAAATCAGAATTTATGATTTTCTGAGTGAATCATCAAATTTTGGCTTTGAAATGTCATTTTTCAGCCATCGCTGACGAATTTAGTGAGTTTCTGAAACTTTTCCGTTTCAAATTACACAATGCGGCATGGAAGATCAGAATTTATGATTTTCTGAGTGAATCACGAAATTTTGGATTTGAAATCTCATTTTTAAGCCATCGCTGAAAGTTTCCGTAAGTTTCTGAAACTTTTCCGTTTCAAATTACACAACGCGGCATGGAAAATCAGAATTTATGATTTTCTGAGTGAATCATCAAATTTTGGCTTTGAAATGTCATTTTTCAGCCATCGCTGACGAATTTAGTGAGTTTCTGAAACTTTTCCGTTTCAAATTACACAATGCGGCATGGAAGATCAGAATTTATGATTTTCTGAGTGAATCACGAAATTTTGGATTTGAAATCTCATTTTTAAGCCATCGCTGAAAGTTTCCGTAAGTTTCTGAAACTTTTCCGTTTCAAATTACACAACGCGGCATGGAAAATCAGAATTTATGATTTTCTGAGTGAATCATCAAATTTTGGCTTTGAAATGTCATTTTTCAGCCATCGCTGACGAATTTAGTGAGTTTCTGAAACTTTTCCGTTTCAAATTACACAACGCGGCATGGAAAATCAGAATTTATGATTTTCTGAGTGAATCATCAAATTTTGGATTTGAAATCTCATTTTTAAGCCATCGCTGAAAGTTTCCGTAAGTTTCTGAAACTTTTCCGTTTCAATTTACACAACGCGGCATGGAAAATCAGAATTTATGATTTTCCGATGAATCATCAGATTTTGGCTTTAAAATCTCGTTTTTCAGCCATCGTTGACGAATTTAGTGAGTTTCTGAAACTTTTCCGTTTCAAATTACACAACGCGGCATGGAAAATCAGAATTTATGATTTTCCGATGAATCATCAGATTTTGGCTTTAAAATCTCGTTTTTCAGCCATCGTTGACGAATTTAGTGAGTTTCTGAAACTATTCTGTTTCAAATTACACAACGCGACATGGAAAATCAGAATTTATGATTTTCCGATGAATCATCAGATTTTGGCTTTAAAATCTCGTTTTTCAGCCATCGTTGACGAATTTAGTGAGTTTCTGAAACTATTCTGTTTCAAATTACACAACGCGACATGGAAAATCAGAATTTATGATTTTCCGATGAATCATCAGATTTTGGCTTTAAAATCTCGTTTTTCAGCCATCGTTGACGAATTTAGCGAAATGAACCACAGGAATTCAAGTTTGAGAACTCATTCTGCAACCATTGGCGATTTTTTCAATATACACACTGCGACATGGAAAATCAGAATTTATGAGCTCCTGAGTGAATCACGAAATTCGAATTTGAAGTATCATTCTCAGACATCGATGACACTTTCCGAGAAATCACGTGTTTATGTTGTAATTTGTACTAGTTCAAAATCTCTGAATGAAATGGTGGAGCATTCATTTACTTGGAATATTGAACTGAAAAGATTGTTACGAACTGATATCATTATAATACAAGATACTGGCTAACTAGAATAATTTACAGTATTCAGTAATTTATCACGCCGAAATCGATTATGTGTGCCAATCGGATATGACCGGCTAAAGTTTATCGAGCACTCAATAACTCCAATTGAGGAATCTGAAAAGGCTCATACTATAACAAATTTAAGTTACAATAATGAAATAACACTGAGTTAAGTACATCGAACACGACTTCAATTAATAATGATGATCAAATCCAATGCGAAAATGGAAAATACAGGAAAACCAAAATAAAGAAAGAAATGAAGATGATACAATTCCGATAATGATAGGGTAGATTTACTTTGCATGTAGGACTTTTCTCAGGGATTCAGAATATGCTAAAATTGTGGAGTTTGGATAGAAATGAATTTTTTCATAAATTGAAATTTCAGATTTCAAATTCAGTTTTCATTATGTCTGGACCTCTGGCTTATTGAAGTCATCGAATAAATTGTTACTTCCATATATCACAATACTGAATGCATTCTGATGACAAAAATCGATAATGATAGGTCACTGCGGCAGGGGCCGGGGCCAGCCTAGCTAATAATACCGATATGAGGGACCAATAAAATCGGAAATAAAAAATTTGAGGTTTTTAGGTCTTTAAACACATCATTGGATAGCTGGCAAAGAGCTGGTTTCGAATATGTTATTCAGAATTGTGTACGATCACTTTGAAGGTTGTTATCAGCTTATCAGTGCCCAAAAAGGGATCAAAAAGAATTAGAGCGTGTAATTCACTAAAAATTGAGATTTTTGAATGTTCAAACATATTGGCGGATAGCTCAAGGGACACTGATGACAACTGTGTAAACATGAGCTTTGTGCGATAATATTGAAGGCAGTTATAACAATGCGGCACTTCCGACGCAAAAACGCGTTTATTGCGCCCTGCGGCACATGAAAAAATTGACTTTTCCACATTTTGAATATATTGTCGGATAGAGCAAACAGTGCCGAGCCCAAATATAATAAAGTGAATCAAAAAGAGTAGCTTTGTGGGAAGCTATTCGAATGCGGCACTTACGACGCAATATCGCGTTTATTGCGCCGGAGGGCACAAAAAATTGTGATTTTTCCAATTTTCGAACATACTGTCGGATGCATCAGACAGCGCTGGTTTCAAATATTTTAACCAGAGCTCTATAGGAGTAACCTGAAAAAAGATATAGCAATGCGGCACTTCCGGCGTTTTATTGCGTTTAAAACGCAGTTTTGAAAAGCGGCACTGCCAGTGCTGTACATAAACAATGGCCAAATATTTCTCACACAAATATTTAAGAATGTGTCCCTAAAAATAACTCACTTATTATCACACAAAAACACACACAGACACACACACATACATACACACACATACACACACACTTACTCACACACACATACACACACAACACACAACACACGACACACAATACACAACACACAACACACAACACACAATACACAACACATAATACACAACACATAACACACAACACACAGCACACAACACACAACACACAACACACAATACACAACACATAATACACAACGCATAACACACAACACACTACACACTACACACTACACATTACATAATACACATAACTCACTACAACACACAATACCACACAACACATAACATACAACACACTACACACAATACATAAAACGCAACACACTACCCATTACACACTACCATTGCACATTACATCTACACGCAACACGCCACACGTTACACACTACACACTACACACATCACTCAACACACAACAAACAACACACTACTACATACTATAAAATACAAACTAAACACTACATACAACACACAACACAGCACCAAGCAGACAATATAGAACGCACAACACATATTAAATATATCGATACACATTTTCAAAATCCCTGCCTCTTAGGGGGCTGCAACTGCAGCATTGTTACTTTTAAAAAAATTTATTCTACCCAACACCGTTTTTCCTACTTTTCTTCCATTTTTTAATTTCCTCATTTTATCCCTTGTCCCATTCTTATACATACTCTTAGATAAGAGGGCCTGCCCTCTTTCAAAAAACAGGGACTCTTTTGATGGGGTTAAACCAGTGGTAAGCCGGCAAGGAATGGTAGCTTCCACGCCTCCAAAAGGGTCAATTCTATGCCTTCACACATTTTTCTCTTTCATGCCCATAGAATCAAGGGTTAGCCAGAACCCTGGTAGCAGCCCTACCGAATTCACCGTTCCTCTGCCTATGGAATGGACCTTCCATAAAGCTTAGATCATAGGTCACTCAAAAAAATTCAAAATTCTCCCAGTGGTTTTGATAGTAGTAGTTATTATAAAAACACCAAGTTTATTAAGT